GGCGTCCCAGGCTACTAGTGAAATATAAAACAGTTGAAATGACAGTTGCCGGTCACAATTAGCACTGTGATTTCTGCATTGCCGCCAAATCATGACATGACCAAACATGAGCCGAGTGGTATATCAAGGTCACCACAAACTAAGTTTGCAGTACACATGCATTGTACAGAAGATTCGGCACACAAGCAGGAGCAGGACCGTCTTAATAATTTTGTTGCCGATCTTCTATGCTTAACAGAGCACAGAAGATCGGCAACAAAATTAACGCAGATTCAATGCAGACCAAACATCAAATTTTCAAAAAATCTCTTAAAATTTTAAAAATATATCGAAAAAAGGTGGTGAAATGCTGTTCCATTGCATTCTATGACAAAAAAGCACTGTGTATACCATTTCTTTAACTTCACACAAAAACAGTCTAATTGAAACTGAATTAATATAAAAAAAGTAACTAATTATCTTTAACTCCATCAAATATTTTAATTAAAACAATGAATATTTTCAGTTTATTTTATAAACCATCTTCATATTTACATTCTAAGGAACATTGAAGATGTAATCAAAAATATATTTAATCAAAAGAAAAATAAAGATGGCTTGAAAAACATACATTTATTAATTAAGCAGCTACTAGAATCATAAAACTATTCAATACTTTTTTTTTTAAATTTAAAAATTCATTATAATTGTTTGGAACTGTATTATACATCTTAAATTGCTTTTTTTAATTTACTTTTTAACTTTCATAAGGCATTACTATAGTGCTTGCAGTAAAAGAGTAGACATGAGTTAGACTGAGCAGGAAGGGTCTATTCAGATGAAAGAGATGGAAGGTGGCTTGCAATCAGCTATGAGTAACATTAGAATTAAGAGTAAGTAATAAAATTTGTAAAACAAACAATAAAATCACTTATGATAAAGATGGTATAAAAAAATTTTAGAAATTAAAAGGCAAAGCTGCTGAAAGAGATCATATTGTTGTCTCAACTCCCAAGAGATAATGTAACCACATGTCTCCTTGACTCATGTCTATCCTTTCCCTGCATAGATTATATATTTCATATTCTATCAGTCATATGAATAAAAAACACTTTTAATAATCCAGCAAATAAATATTAGTAAACTAATAATGTTTTCAACCATTTTTAATGATCTTCCTCAGTTAACATAAAAAATAGATCACCAAAATAGAATGTAAATATGAAAATATAAATAACAGAAAATGTAGTTGTAATTGATAAAATAAACGAAAACATAAAAAATATATATTAAGCTGAAAATGTCACTTAATAAAAATAAAATAAAACTAAAATAAAAATGTCTCTTAATAACATTAATTTTCGTAAAAGACCGCCATGCGGTAGCATGTGTCTGCATCTCTATGGTTGATGCAACCAGTTCTCTTGTGTGCTTTAAAGATCTCTAACTTTTCAAGATATTTCATTGTGTGTAAATTTGTTGTTGGTTTAATTATTGCTGCTTGATCCCATGGACTTGAAAGTCTTATTGTCTTGTGTAAGCTGATAGCATAGTGTTGTCTAGTTTTTTATTAGTCATATATTTATGCTCTTTGAGATGTTGCTGCAAGTTGTGCATTGCAGTGCTCATATAGACAAGATCAGAATCAAAATGCTGGTCTCATAATGGTATAGAGTAGATTCCTGTGGCTGGTTTCTAGTCATATTGTTCCTTATAATTTCTTAAGAGCTTGAAAAGAGCTGGTATGTTATACCTCGTTTTTTGAATTTGAGAATGAACTATATTTACAAGGAAGAGGTTTACGTATGGGTAGTCCCAGATCGGTGATTCTTTGTGAGTTGGTCTTACAACAACTGGAAAACAAAATTCTATCCAAATTTCAACACCTTATCATTTTGTATACCAGATACATCAATGATATATTGGCATCCTATGGCAAAGAAAACCAGACCTACAGCAATTTTTGGAGATGATCAATAATAACCCTTATGGTTTATTACTACAAGTAGACCAGGAGGGTGAAAATAATGTAAATTTTTTGGATATTTTCATGACTTGCAGACAGGGAGAAATCTGGACCAGCTTATACAGAAAACCATGTTTTCAACCAACTTTAAGAAGTAATTAAATAATATTCCTGTTGAAAGAGCCAGAATTTTGCTTAAACAAAAGCTTAACCGAACCAATCTTTAGCCGAGTACAGTGGGGACTGATTCTTCGTGATATTAGATTTAATAAAGACAAATTTTTCCAGTTCAATGAGTGTGACCGAAAAGTTATAAATTTTGGAAATTTCCGTGGACCCTGATCCTAAAACGAATTAGTTAGAAAACAAACAACAGACAATCTATTAAGTTTAACATATTTAGATTTTTACAGCTATGGTGAGAAACGTTTAAAATGTACAACAACCCTGTCGCGTCCTTTCAGGTATACTAGTGATGCGACAAAAGAGGCATTTGACATTTACCAGTATCGGCACCCTCGGGATTTGGCAGCCTGCGTGCATGCACCTACCAGGACCGTCTCTGATTACATTCATTAGTCACTCATAGGGAGCTATTTGACTAAGTGCATTGTTTTAAGATTTAAAAAGTAAAGAATATTTTATGTTATTTTTATGTATGTTTCTTTACAAAGCTATATTTAATTATAATTTTCTTTAAAAGTATATTAATATAATTGAAGAATATTTTGTACCAGGTATGTACTGTATATCCACCACACATTTTATTTCACCAAGTAAGTTTTTATTATTTTATTTATAATTTTAGCCCTTATATCGTGGCTAGTGACTTGTGATGTTAAATATACATTTAGGGAAGTCTATGGTGTTTATTGGCTTATCGAACAAACAAATACGAATGGGCTCTTGACCATCACTGACGCGCAATTGACTGATTGCCCCTGGAAGTTGGATTCTTACAGAAACACAGCTTCCCTATCTTCAAATGTCACGGCACGCCACTGGTCCTCTGTTCTCCATTCAAACAATGTTCCCCAAAACACTTCAAAAACATATCTTTAAATTAAGTGTATCTTCTGTTCTCCATTCAAAGTCTGTTTTAAACTTGTAATAATTTAAAAATTATTATTTTCCTTTTAAACAGGATTTCATGCCTAACATTTAATCCTGATATGTTGGCATATTTATTAATTAAATTAGCAGGTTTTTAGTTAATTAAACCAAGGACAAAAAGCAATTTCTTTATATTTATTAATGTAAAATAAAGATTACAATATATTATATTTGAAATAAAAAATGTTTTCATAATTTTTAATATAATTTCCAAAAACTTCTCTGCATTCTTTAATTACATATAATTTTCTTCTCTTTATTACAGTTTGGCAAAATAGAGAAGATAGAGAATTTGTTATTGCAATTAAATTTGGACTAGGTAATTTAAAATAAAATTTTTTCTATTTTTATAATTTTAAAATAGATTAATAGACTAAGCATTTTAGTTATTAATTAAGCATATTTCATAAATAAAAGTGTTGACAGTTAATCAATACTATATTCAATTATTTTATGTGGATAAATATACTTTAAAGAAATTTATTATAAAGTTTATTATCTGTATTTAGTTTTTTGAATTTATAATTTATTATGTGGGATTTTTTTTAAATTTTATTCATTTCATCATACAATGATTTACCTAATATAGGTTCACAAAAATTCAATATTAAAAATTTGTTAGGTTGCATATTAGAATTTGTCAATTTATAATGATATATCTGCAGACTAAAAACAAATTTTGAAATGTTTGCGTGAAAAAATTATAATTAAATCTCAAAATTCATTTATTCATGGTTGAATTTTAAAAAAATCTATAAAAATAATTAATTCTTTGTTCAATTATTTGAGACTAATTTAAGTATTGAAATGTATTTCCTCATTTTTGAGATATTTCTCAATATATTAATTACAAATGAAAATTATAAAAAATGACTGATGTATTTAAATGATACAAATTTATTACATAGAATATTTTGAAAAATTTTATGTAAATAAAAATCATAAAAAAAATAGTGAGTATAAAATAAAATTCTCAAAGTATTCTCATTTATTTCATGTAAGTATTTTCTAAATAAATATAATAATTTTTGAAAGCATTAACATTAGCAATCTCTGATACATATATAGCATTATAATGCTATATATGTATCAGAGATTAATTGAATTTATTAGGTTTAAACTTGGTTCTTTAGTGATCTTATATATGGTAAATCTCTGTATATAAAAGTTATCAACCCACTCAATCAGTTATAAATCATTAAAATTAGAAAAAAATTCATATAAAATAAATGTAATGATTAGTTAATTTTAGATGTCAAAGATTTTTACACTGACAAGAAATTAAAAATTAGTTTAAATTAATTAAGAATCTGTACATTGTGAATTTCCTTGATTATAACTCAGAAATTACCAATATTGTTTAAATTTACATAATTTATTATATGAAAAAACTAGAAAATTATTTAAATGTGCTTCATAGATGACTTCAGACTTTGATATATGTTAACTTTAGTTACAAATTATATCTGCAGTTAACACATATCAAAAATACGAAAATGGTTTGATGAATTTTAATGTTTTTAAATATTAGATTTATTAAAATATGATGAATATTGGTAATTGAAAATACCAAGTACATTTTAGTTCATCATTCTGTTCGTGAATCATACATTTATGTGAATTATTGCTCAGTATATTGCCTAATTGTATTAAGTTTTCAAAAACAAATTATTATTTTTTATTTATCTGTCAAAAATGTTTGAACTTTCTGATATACTGCATGTGAAACATTATTATTTGGACTACATTGAAATTCAATATAAGTTTTAACCTTACAAAAATTTTGTTATAATAGTAATTCATTTTTTATTTATGAACATTTCTAATTAACTAAAGTAATTTTTTATATTCATAAATTAAATGTCAGCTGTATATTAATATAATTTTTGTTAAAGCATATTTTTAAAAATAAATTAATAAATATTGAATAACTTGATATAGCCTAATCCATAAATTTGCATTTTCTTCATTATTTTTATATATTCTTTTGACATCGTTTGTTAAAATGTTATAAAATGATCTTACAATGAAATTAAATATGAAGCATCTAATATTAATTGAAAATACATGATCATTCATGGTTTTATATTTCCACAAATGGTAGGTTTTCTAGGGATTATTCTTTTTACAGTGTTATCAACTCTACAAGCTCAAACATAAAATTGGAAGAAGAAAAATTATATATAAATTGAAGCATTACAAGAAAATTTTATAATGGGTTCTCAGCAGTTGTGTTTGAAATGGGAAAATCATCAAACAAACTTGTTGAATGGATTTGAAAGTTTATTATCCAATGAATTTTTAGTTGATGTTACATTAGCTTGTGAAGGTCAGACCCTTAAAGTTCATAAAGTAGTGCTATCTGCATGTAGTCCATTTTTTCAAAATCTTTTAATTCAAAATCCTTGTCAACATCCTATTATAATATTGAGTGGTGTAAAGTATTCAGATTTAAAATCAGTTATAGATTTTGTGTATCATGGTGAAATAAACATTGATCAAGATCAACTTAGTGCAGTATTACAAACAGCTGAATTACTGAAAATTAATGGATTAGCTGAATTAAATGATAAGCAAGAAAATTGCAATTCTGAAATACATAAANTTCTAATTAACTAAAGTAATTTTTTATATTCATAAATTAAATGTCAGCTGTATATTAATATAATTTTTGTTAAAGCATATTTTTAAAAATAAATTAATAAATATTGAATAACTTGATATAGCCTAATCCATAAATTTGCATTTTCTTCATTATTTTTATATATTCTTTTGACATCGTTTGTTAAAATGTTATAAAATGATCTTACAATGAAATTAAATATGAAGCATCTAATATTAATTGAAAATACATGATCATTCATGGTTTTATATTTCCACAAATGGTAGGTTTTCTAGGGATTATTCTTTTTACAGTGTTATCAACTCTACAAGCTCAAACATAAAATTGGAAGAAGAAAAATTATATATAAATTGAAGCATTACAAGAAAATTTTATAATGGGTTCTCAGCAGTTGTGTTTGAAATGGGAAAATCATCAAACAAACTTGTTGAATGGATTTGAAAGTTTATTATCCAATGAATTTTTAGTTGATGTTACATTAGCTTGTGAAGGTCAGACCCTTAAAGTTCATAAAGTAGTGCTATCTGCATGTAGTCCATTTTTTCAAAATCTTTTAATTCAAAATCCTTGTCAACATCCTATTATAATATTGAGTGGTGTAAAGTATTCAGATTTAAAATCAGTTATAGATTTTGTGTATCATGGTGAAATAAACATTGATCAAGATCAACTTAGTGCAGTATTACAAACAGCTGAATTACTGAAAATTAATGGATTAGCTGAATTAAATGATAAGCAAGAAAATTGCAATTCTGAAATACATAAACCAACTAATGAATATTCTAATAGTATGCAGTACATACCTTTAGAAGGAAAACAGGTCAGATCCAATATATTGGAAAAAACAAATACCAGTAATAAAAATAGTAATCAAAGTGATGACAATTTAAATATGAAAGCCTTGGGAGGTATTAAACAGGAAATTGCAATAAATATAGAAAAAGTTTCTAATACAGAAGAAAACACATTTGAAATTGAATCAGAAGAATCGCATTTTCGTGCTGTAACTTATCCACAAATAAGGAATGATGTAGTTTCATCATCATATCATTCAGTTTCTACAGAGAATACTTCTACAAAATCACTAGATTATATTTTATCTCAACCATCGTCATCTGTCATAGAAGAGCATTCATTTAGTGAATGTTCTGTTGCTCCGCCAAAAATTCTTGAACAGATTCCCAAACAAGAATCCATTTCAGAAGTTCCAGAACATTTACCTTCATCTGCAGTAGCACTTTCACATTTATCTTCAGTGAATCTGAATGAAACTCCTACTGAAAGGAATCAAATAGAGATATTTACTCCTCTTGCAGGTTCTAGTAATTATCATCATAATAAACACTTGTTAATATTACCTGAAACACAAATGAAAGATAGATCTCTTATTTCATCTTTTCGATGGAAAAGCTCAAATCGCAGTCTGCAAGAAGATTCTGTAAGTCGTCTGCGATGTTTGCAATGCAAAAAGATATTTTCAACATCATCAAATCTGAAAAGACACATGGAGATCCATGTTTTAGAGAGGAAAACATATAAATGTTTTGTTTGTCATAAACGATTTTCTTGGAAAACTCATTTGAATTCACATCTTAGAAGAGATCATGGATATAAGACATAATAATTTTAAAGGTATCAATTCTTTTTAATTTTCTTTTCCAACATTCCAAGATATATTTGTATAAATTTAAAATTTAAAGAAAATAAGTAAAATAATTGTAAACAAATATTATTATTTTTTTTATTTATGCAAAGTTGCATAAATAATATATAAAGATTAAACTTAAAATTCAATCTACATTTTCCAAATAAAATATTCTATAATTAAAAATTGATCAGCTAAAACACAGATAAAATTTTATTCAGTTCTAATGGTTTTAAATGCTGGAAAAGGAATTCTATTGGATTTTACCCAATGATTATTTTTTCTAAATTATAAAGTATTATTTAAACATTTTTGCTTAATTTTGTAATAAAATTTTGTGTATATTTTCATCATATATATTTATCTAAATTTAAGATGTACTGTACATTATTATTTGAAAATTTATAAGTAACTCACAAAAACACTAATACTAAAATTAAGGAATTATGAAAGTGTTTTATGAATATTTTCATACTAAAATATTGTTTTAAAAATGTAATAAGTTTAAAAATATAGTAAAACTTGCATAATTCAATTTTTGAAATTATTATTAATACTGTTTTTCTCAACAAAAAATCAAATCAAGAATAAATGGATTCTTTGGATTTTTAAATTGTTAAATTGTATATAAACTGAAATTTTAGATGGCTAAAGTAATTTTTAAATCATATAAAAAAATTATTTTATGAACTTTACAGACTCTCTTAAGATCAGAGAATAATTTAAACATTTATAAAATGTTTAAAAAGAAAAAAATTACAAATTATATACAGTAGAATCCTGCAAACTGGACTTAATGTGGACTGAGAAGGTGGTGAGTTTTGTGGCATAGTGATGATACTAGTCTACATAGCAGAATTTTCATAAAGGTATTGTGTGTGCAATTTCATGTACATATTAACTATGTACCAATAATGATTATTTCTATTTGTAGTTAAATTTTAATTGAAAAATTGCCTATTCAGTGGCTGCTTCTGAATTAGTGACATTGTGTCATGGTGTTTTGCAGTGCCCCTTGGAAAAAGGGTTATATTCTTTGTTAATACATGGAAATGATGCTATTATTAAGTGTTGCCAGTAAATAACAATAACTTATTTGATCCTAGTGTTAAGTTATAGCGGTAGAAATTAGATTGTGTTTTTTTCTTTTCTTTCTTTTTGAACAGTGATGAGTTTTATGGAATGTTGAGTTATTGAGAATCAAGTTTTTGGGACTCTACTGTATAAAGTAACAAAAATATAATGTAAATATGAGGATTTTAATTTTAAAGAGGTTAGATATTAACATTTGTTTTCAAAACTTATTTGCTGCTTCTTTGGATACTTTATTTTATATTTTAGTTCTTTCCTAATGTTGATTCAGAAATGCACTTCAGAATAAACTGCTACATTATATTTTTTTAAACTTAGGTCAAAAACTAGTATTTCTTTAACGTCACCTACTGTTACAGGTGTATTGCTTAATAGTTGTATTTTAATATGTTATAAAATTTATAGTATACAGATCATTTAATTGTTTATTTTTAAAATTTCAGAATATGTGAATTGAAAACTATTTGTTAAATTAAATTTATAAATATGATTTTAATTGGTTTATTAAAACGTTCTTATAAATAATCTGTTATAATTTATTTCTTATTTTATTCTTTAAATGCATAGATTTTTTCTTTGTTCAAAGAATGTAATTATCAATAAGGAAAAATTGTAAAGATGTAGTAAACATTGCTTTGATATAATTTAATCTATATTTACTATTTATCCACATTGTATTTTTAGAATGCTATATTAAATGTTATTAGTAACAAATTTACAAATTTATTTTGTAAATTTGTAAATTTGTTACCATTCAATAAATATTGCAGTTAAATATTACAGAGGATACTAAGAATTAAGGATACATCAGACAATTTGGTGTAATATTGAAAATCTGTTCATTGGTTTTTTGTCCATATTTGGTGTTTCCTTGTTTCTTAGATATTGAGAAATATCACATTTATAATTTTTGTAAGAAGTTTTGGAGATGTTCTCACAACAGTTAGATTTATTAAAAATTTTCAAATTTGCAAATATTCATTGGGTGTTTGCAACACATACCACCAATGCCTTTAAATGCCAGAAAACTAAGCAATCTGTGGCAATGTGTTACCAGTAATTGAAAGCAAACAGACTTATGACCATAAAAAGTAGTTTTTATATATAAGCAACTACTTATTAAGCAACTATTAATTAGTTTGTACTAAGCTTAAAGAATATTAATTAAAGTACATTGCCTGGAAGAGGTCTTTTTTACTTATTAGTACAGAATGAAGTACATTATATTAATATATATTAAGACCTTGAATTTTTGTGATCAGTTGTAATAAAAATAAACATGCAATAATTAGTAAAAATTTCCTGTTAAACCAAGCACATGTATGTTGCTAGTCAAAGATTGAATGAAATATCCCAGGAATATGCTTAATGTGATTGGTACTTGGGCTTGCAATTGAATAAATATTGGATATCATATATCCATCCTTTACACTGAAAGTGTCAATAACATATTCAATTTAAAAAATAAATTTGCAAATTTTCTCTCTTTATATTATACAGTAGATAGTTATTTAACACTGTTCAATGCTCACACTTAATATTTAAGAAAGTATATTTTTTATATTTTGTAGTTTTAATAGAAGCATTCTATATATGATTATCTCAAAATTTATTAAAATCATTTACTGTTCCTGTAATTATTTATCTTACATTTAGAGTGTGCATTAGAGTTATTTTCAAATTGATATCAGATACAAAAAATTAAAAATAAATATTCTAATAGTTAACAAAACTTCAGTTTAACTTTATAAGAAAATTATTTGTTTTTAACATGAGATTATTATGAAAACAAAAAAATACAAAAAAGTTTTCCTTGTTTGATGACATTATTCATTAAAATATCTAATAGTATGATGCTCTTGAAATGATTTTGAAATGATTCAAAATTTTTGTGAAATATTCAAAATGAATTACATTGTATTTTCAGCATTCTGTTTTATTCTTATACATTTATATGTATGGAATGGTTTTCTTTATAAGTCATTAAAATAGATCATTATTGTGATATCTGACCATAAGTAAAAATATGAACTTTAGATATTGAGACTTATATAATAACTCTCTTCTGAAATATTGCATTTAAAATCAGTTTCATGACCATTAGATAAGTTGCTAAAGGATAGATAACTTTTATGAAACTGCTTGCTAGTGAGTTGTTTGTTCTGAAACTATAGTGTAAATATTATAAGAAAAAACTGTAATCAAAATTTTCAAAATCATTGTAGTAAAAACTATAATAATTAAATTATTAAATCCAATTTTCTTGCTACATTACAATAATAATTAAATTATTGTAATGTAGCAAGGAAAATTGGAAGCCATATTTATTCCCTGTTTTATTTCATTATGTAGGTTTTATGTAGTTTTTATATGGTTGATATTTACAGATGGAAGCATAGTCTGTATTTCTGTATAATTGTTTTATTAATTCTTATTAATTGGGATATTTATCTCATTCCTTGAGTGAAATGTCAACAGTAAAAAATTGGGTTATGACTAAATATTCAATATTAACTTCCAATCACTTTTGTTCTAAAAACAATACGTTTTTTTGCTATTCATAAAAATGTTTTTTCATTTTTGGGAATAAAAAATGAGAAGAGTTCTGGATTCAGACTGTAAAAAAAGGAAAATATTATTATCTTGAAAGAGATAATATATGAAAGAGCTTGAAAGTCCATTTAAAATCCTGTCCATTTTCATTTGAACATTCTCAAGAATGTTTTGTTCCATAGATTGGGAATTGTTTAAATTTGTTTTTATTTTGTAATGTGGATATTCTAATGACAGAAAATTACAGATTTGTCTGTTGTTATGGCCAATAGTTTCCTTTTAAGATTTTTTATTGCAAATGACACTTTTGTTTCAGTCCTTTCATTTAGTAGTCTGGAGCATTGATAGTGCTTTGATATCAAAACCATTAGAAAATCTTTCTTAATTATAAGTTTTGCATATATCTTTTCATGTAATATTTTGGTGGTATCTTTGATGGTAGATTTCATTGGAGCACTTATTTAGCTTTTAGGAAATTAAATTTTTTTTTATATTAGTGAGCAAAAGACAAATCTGTTTGTTATAGATTTAAAAAAATCTTCCAATTTTTGTGCATTAAACTGTCCCGGAAAATACTTAAAAGTGTATTATTTGCTTATTGTACTCAGTTCTGACCTAGTTAGTTTTAAATTTTATGCACACTATCATTTTTAACCTGTACTGTGCTATTAGAGGCATCATGTATGATCATACTAAATCCTAAATCTAGCATTTTTAAGTTTGTGCTCTACTTTTTTTCCTATCATGTCCTCACTATCAAAAGACTGAGAGATCTATTTTTCACTTTCCTACATAAAAAAGTAATAAAATTTAATAAAAGAATTTATTATTAAATTCTTACATAAGAAAAGTATACTTGGTTGATTATTTTTTGTATTTTAATGCTAAACACTTATATTTATTTTTCAAAAATAGAATTCATAATCCTGAGATTTTCTGATAATTAATGTTAAAGAAATTTGATGAAAGAAATGTGATATTTTTAATTTTGTGTAAAGCAACTTTATAATGTGTATTAAATTAATTCAACATTAATTTTTTAAATTGTTTTTTTGAAAAAAATTTTAATCAGATAATACAGTAGAGCCTCGAAAACTCGGCCTAATGTGGACCGAAGGGTGGCCGAGTTTGTGAAAATGCCCGGTTATCGGGAATGGCGTTAAAAAAATAAGTACGAGTGTGGAGTCCTCAGAAAATACTGTACTTGTAAATACTATACTTGTATGTATTGTTTACTTAAGAATACAACAAAGAATAAACTGCCCAAATATCCTTAAACAAAGGAAAAGTACATCTTTTATGAAGGCATAGAGCCTTTACTACATGAAAATGAAAATTAATGAATACACTGTACAGTAATTTACCTGATAAGACAGACCT